GTTGTTGCTGTTGCTGCTGCTGCGGCTGCGGCTGCTGCTGCTGCTGCTGCTGAGTGACTGCCATTTGTTTTAGAGTTTTATGATTATGTTCAGATATAGCCATTTTTACGCGCTTCAAATCCAAACTTCTGTTAGTGATCATCGAGCGACTTGATGCTGGCCTAGGTTCCTGTAAAAATAAGCATATTAAAAAAAGGACTTTTTTAATGATAAAAAGCATCCAATAAATTATTATTTATGTTATTTACTTTAATAAAGTTAGAGTGCCTTGACTGACGTTTCACTGTTTCATGAGGTAAAATTACAAGACAGGCCAACTCTTGAATTCTACGCCGAAGTTCCAAGTCCATTTTCAACCATGTAGTAGTCCTAGCAGCTCGTGCTGCATCTCTAACCAAGCATTTTTCTACCCGACTTTGAATTTTTTTCAAAAAATCAACAAACAAAGGCCCCCATTTAATTTTATCCTGAGCTTCATCTTGTTGTGCCGAGGTTAACATTTTATGCAACTTCGAATAACTTTTACACGCTTGCTCGGGGGGTAAACGTTCGGCAGCTGCTAAGAAATTATCCTCCAATCGACTGATGTTCCATGTCAATTCTCGACCAAGGGATTGGAAGTTCTCATTTCCCAAAACTCCTGAGAAATTATCCGATAGAAACTTCACCGATGTCTCTAACAAGTTTGAAACCATTCTAAACACTGGTTCAGCCCAACGAACATTTGGCAAAGTTGCAAGAAGCTTATCACAATCCATCATAGTTTGGAGAACGTTGTCCGTCGACTATTATAGACAATAAGAATGGAAAAGACAATTACTTTAGATTTTACGAAAAGATTATACGTCAAATTAATACATACCATATGTACAATATGTTGATGGTAACATTTTGCCATTAGCTCTTTGGGAAGTGTCGCAAACGCTTTACATGGCCATATTCGCACGAAATGTCTCGTAACCCAACGAAGAGATTTTCGATACACTTCGTCGAGACCATAGGCTGCTGCCAAGGGCATACATTCCAATACACCAACGGCACATATTTGACAAGGCTGCAAATTGATACGGATAATAAACAAACAAGTTGCCAATTGAGATTTTGTTATAAAAGTATAAAATCGTACCTTATGAAATAGATGACAATATTTAACTTTAAGCGTATATCCAATAATCTCTTTAAGACCTTCCAAGCACAGCATATCAGCTAACGTAGCTAATTCAACAATACTTATAGAATCTGGTATGTTACTTTCTCCACTGTATATGTGACGCAGTGCAAAATGCACCGCATCATAAGAATATCCTTGCAGAGAAATGACATTTCCTACGCTCTCAATCCATCCACCACTGAGAATCGCTGCAAAATATTGACATCTAGAACTCAATATACATTTGTGAGCCCTTATACGACGTCCAGCTACGTCGATTGTAACATCTGGATTGATTTCTTCTAAAAACATTCTTAACAAATCTTCTCCCAATCTATTGTACGGTCTACTTCCCGCCAAGCTAGATGTTTCAGTTTCCTCTGTGCTTCCTTCTAAAAAAAAAAAAAAAAAAAAA